ATTATTCATACTTGTGACTGTATTTAGGAAGTACCATAAAGTCGTCTGAATCACAATGCAGTCCCGTCATGTGATAGACATTCATTATATCTATTCCATGCCTTCTGTTGATTTTGGTTTTGTGTTTTGTCAGACAATGTCCGTGTTGCTTCATGTGCATTACGCTTTTATTTTTGCAAAAGGTGCTGCCAATCATCCTAAATTTAGAATCCGCTAATCTTGTTCCATTATTGCTGATTTCATGCAAACTGTAGGGCTTTGCCGTTGGTATATACGCATCTTTTTGGCCCCTAGTCTTTTTAACATCACACTCTAATAGGTTCGTATATACAGTACTCTTCCTCTGCTTCTTTCCTATGACTAGGAGCATTCATAAACGAGATATCAAGTGTTTACCACTTATAGGTGTAAATCCAAGAAGTGTCTGCTTATTCTCCTCTCTACAACAAATTCTGTTCCAAATGTGTTCTTTTTGTGCCCACTCTAGAAAATGGTACAATTAATACAGTATTAAATGGCTACTCTTCCACTCTACCCCTTGATTAGATATCACTCCTGCTCTGTACTTCCTTAATTCTTCCCCAGAGTAAATAGGAGTCCCAGCTCTTTGTAGGCGAGCTATGTTCCAGGTCAGGATCCTCATAATTTTTACTTTGGACTGGCTCCTTTAGTCAGCACCAATCTGGAGGCTTTTTTTCTGTGTGGATCATCACTGGATACCATCCTGATATGGGTAACCCTACTGATAGCTATGCTGCCACCAAGACAACTGTTGGGGTGATTTGAACATACAAGCCCCCACCACTGTGTCAAGGTAATGTTACATTTAGTAGCTGTACACAGATTTTCTACCAAGACTGATCTTTCATGTGCCATTGAACAATTGTTTATTGATCATACGGCACATTTAGTGTAATCAATTCCTGAAAGATTGTTTTTTATAAAAAGAAACCTATCACTATATTGAAAGATCATATTGCTTCACATATGGCCTGCACTGTAGCTTTCATTTTAAAGCTCTAAAGTATGTTATAATGGCAGTGCTAGAATATTAGGTTGAGGTAAAATACTGAGGGTGGTTA